TTTTGGAGATAAGTCATACTATTTAACCCATAGCTGGGCAGAGAAGTGATTTCATACCTTTCCCAAGCATATTTGCATGTAATATTTCCCACCTCCATAATGTAGTTTTCCTGTGCCTTTTGTATAAATACTCTCATCATAATTTTTCTGATGAACTCTCCTCTATGGTACCTAGACTTTCTGAATTTAAGTGCAGTAGAGATTGGCGGTAAGGTCTCATCTTTGTACAATTAAAATGTCTAGATGTAACCGTAAGTTCTATGCTAACAGTTTCTTCTATTGCACTTCTTACTTGTGGAACTCTCTTCTGGCTTCTTGCTTCCCAGTCAACTTTGATCTTCAAAAATTAAAATTTTTTTTTTTATTTTTTATTTCTTTTTAATTGGTATAACTTATTTTTTATTTCTTTTTAATTGGTATAACAAAGCAGTAAAGCCACAGGGAATTACAGGCTGTTGAAGAATTAGGAACAGAAACATTAAAAATGAGTGGGAAGAGAAAAGAGTAATCAGGAGGACAGTAGATAGTGATTGATATTGCATTTAAATTTTTGTAGATTAAAGTTGACTGGAAAGCATGGAGCTGGAAGGAAGTTCCACAAGCAAGAAGTGTGAGAAAAGAAATTGTTTGTATAGAACTTACAGCTACATCTATTGAGTTCAACTGTAAATTGATGAGATCTTGACACGCAATGTCAGTTGTTATCTTCTGTCTTCTTAATTCTTGTTCTATCATCATCATCTCTCCTTAATAGTAGTTTTTCTCATATTCTCTAACAATCAGTAATGCCTTGTTTGATGTGAAATGATAAAAAAAAGTAATATAACCTGACTGGAATTTGAACTTGGTACTTTGATTACTCATTCCAAGCCGTTATCAATTACACCACCTACACATCCAAGCTTGCACCAACTGGTATTCTTGAGCAGTTACTCATCTAGGCATTGACAAGATGCAATATTGCTTAACTTCAGATACTACCCAACCCAGAGTTTGAAACAATACTTTAATTCACTAGGCCATGTATCTCTTGGATAATCTTGGAGCAATCCCTAAGCATGGAAAGTGGAATAGTCTACCATTGTGGATTTAGGGTTCAGTTTAAAATTCTGAGGTTATGAACACCCAAAGAAGACTGGAGAGTATAACAGACGAAAATTTGTAGGATATACAACCAAGATGTAGATTCTAGTCCAAATAAAGAATGACCCAGAATTTATTTATAGATTTGTAATTTCTGTATTTTTTTTTTTTTATTATTTCAAAATTGTTTTATACAGAATGAAAATTCAAAGACTGGAAATATATTTCTGTTTACTGATGAAAAATGATATGATATAAATATCCTCCATTTTCCACAGACATGCTTTTTTGATAATTCTCTCCATAAGAGCCCTTGAATTTCTGCATCAATGTTATTCTTGAGTTGATAAATTGTCTGCAGGTTATTGACATATACATGTTCCTAAGTGTATCCCCCAAAGAAAATAATCAAGAGCTGTCAGTTCAAGAGAAATTGGTTGCTATAAATTTTTTGAATTTATGGAAATTATCCAGTGTCCAAAAGTTTGGTTATATCCAAATTCTATGATTTTGTTTTTAGTCCATTTGGGAAATTTTCATGGATAATTTCCCTTTGTTAATCTAAATTCAGAAAAAAATTAAATAAAAACTATTAAAAACCTAACATGTTATGACTTTATAATACCTAGATAACTTTTGAGACACACTATATAAAGGTATATCAAAATGGTAATTCCTTATCTATCTTATGCTGTTTGTTATCTATCTAATAATGTTAATTCCACATCTTAAAAATTACAATATGAAAAGCCTTTGTAGTGATACAAAATGCTATTATCTCCCTTTGAGATGAAGTCATGTGGGTCATGTGACCACCATTTATTGATGTCACTTCATAGTGACAAAAGTGGCCAGTCCATCAGTCAGCTTCCAGGAGTCAAACCAAGCAGTTACTTTTTTTAGCATGGCAAGGCCTTGCCTCACCCAGCCAAGCTGCCAAAGGGTTAGCTCATAAGTCTATAGCTCCATTTTCCTTTGGGAATATATCTTCACCAGATATAGAAACTACCTCTGGCTTGCAGTCCACATATTGCTGTTTCCTGTTTGAAGAATATGTCCCAACTAATGACTTAGAAGATAAATCTGGCCCACTCAAATCTCCATTAAGAATCCTAAATATGGCTTCTCCAGAAACACAAAAAAATTTTTCCATCAGCTCAAATTTGCGTTGGGAATTATTACAAGTAAAACCCTCTCCATCGTCTTAATTTTCGTACTGCTTGTGTGGTATACATGTTATAGTTTCTCTGTGTGGGACACATGTAAATATCTGTATATTATTTTGTGTATGATGTAGTGGTATAAAACTCTCTCAGAGAACAATGCATGTTTGTCATTCCTTTTCTTTCAGCTTTTGTATTCTGGCCATATATTAAGGTGTTATTATATCATAAATATAATAATGTCCACAATGGGGGAAATGAAAGTAGAAAATATTCCTTTTCTTGCATAGCTTACTCATTAACTGGTGACTCCAATGTGATATGAACACATAAGCAAATATGAAAGGTTCATTTCCCACATTTACCATTACTTTTATTTACATGCGGTCTATTGTCTTCATTTTTGTTGTTGCTATCACATTTTGGCTGTTGTGCCCTTTGACCTTCATCAGGTGCTTGTTGATCCTGGTAACCCTTGCACAGGAAGCCTAGTGGATTAAGGCATTGGTTTGTAAATTTGGTGACATAATAATTGTGAGTTCAATCCCTGGGCTGTGCAGTGTGCATTTGGACTTTGTAGAAAAGTATTGAGCAACACTAGATAAAAACAAGATGAGATATCATGAAACATTGTCCATGGAATGTGAACAATTAACACATGTAGAAATTCCCAAAAAATTACTCATATTAACAAAAACCTGATGATAGCTGGAGTTACAATGACCAAAACATTTTGATAATAAAAACAAAGATGAGGACAATGGTAATGCTAATATTATCTGTTTTCTTATAAGGCAATGAATTCCAACGCGGGTAGCATGCTCCACTGGTGGGGCGTGGTAATATTTTGGTGGGGTGTGTGTAGGATGTGAACCCTTCTGTTTACTATACCAACATGAGCGCAAATTTCATTTTGCATTATTATTTCATGATTAAAATGATCAAAGTATATTACAGAATAAGCTTTCAGTCAAATATTTTATATTTCTGCCTTTCAGTTCTCTATTATATATTTTGAAACACATATATATATTTAACTGCCTTTTGGTTTTTTTAATTTTTCTTTTTCATGGATGCCATTCAGAGACTTGTTAAGAGACCAAGTGAATGTCCTTTTAAGCTTCCTTTATGTGAATTGCAGTAAAATTTTGAATATGTAAGAATTAAATATTACAGGGGGGGGGCACCAGAATTTTATAAATACCAAAGTGGGGCATGACCCAAAATCGATTGGGAACTAATGTTATAAGGAAACATTTGGCATTCATTGAACTACTTTTGGTTGGCATTTATAAAATCTTTCTCTAAAAACATTTTTTCAGGAAAACAGTCCAGTAGCTGTTATCGCTCTTTCCAGTATTGATGGGGGTTTCCTTCCTAACCTTTTATTTCAAGTAGTGTGAAATGTCAGCATCTAGATTACATTATTGTTTTCACTTCAAGTTAATGTTCTATTCATTTTAGTTGTTGCTGCTGTTGAAAGTCCTCAAATTTTGTAGTTTGTTATTTGGTACACTTCTTTGTGCTTCTGTAGCGCCAGTTCACAAGGTTCAAAGAAGCATGGTCTTCACCAAGCCCAACAGGATTCTCTTGCTCAAAGCCATTTTTAACCATTGATCTTGTAGTATGCATTTTAAATAATGTAAATAATAACTCCTTATCCTAGAAATTCAGACAAAAATTATAATGTCCTTTATGTGTCTATTTGTGCAACAAAAAAGACTGCATGTATCCAAGAATTAATAAAGAATATGGCTATTTGCCTATGTATAATACTTCCATATTTTTTTTCTTAAGTATCAGCTTAATTTTCTCACATTTTTTTTCTGTGTTGGGCTTTCTAAACCTCTCGTTGTCTCTGATGAGAACTTGAGATCAGTTTTTTGCTGTTTTACTTCAGATGGTGAAACTCTTGTCCGAATTTACCCCAATAATGATATGTTTCTTACAAGATCTATGTTTTTATCATTATTTACAATGGTATCATACCCACTTCCACCTCTACCTTACCCTCGGTGTTCTAAGGACAGGACTAGGATTGTCTGCAGAAAAAAAGTAAATAACTTTGGAATAAGGGCTTTCCTCCCTTTTTTTGGGGGGCTTCTTAAAAGACTCTTATTTATTTAACAGCTGTGGAACTCTTAAAGTTTTTGAACGTTTTTCAGATCTTTGTTCACCCTTTACGCTTTCATTTTAGGATCAGATGTGTCCGGGTACGGGTAGATGTATTAATACTTTTGTATGTATGTAGGTTGATAGCTATGTACATCCGCTGGATGGTTGTATTGATATAGTAATGATTTATGATTATGCTTCAGAATGTGTGTGTGTGTGAGGGAGGAAAGGAGGGAGGGGTTACATTTTATTTTTCTTACACTTATAGGGCTCATCTGAATTTTAAACATCTTTCATCTTTTTTTTGTTTTAATTCTCAAAGTATTTCATGTCCTGAAATTGAAACCCGCTGAAGGCTTGAGAATTAAAGTTATTTTTTATGTGTTTGAAAGATTTTTAAGGGATATGTTTCCGAATGACTGATACAGTATAAGGGATTTAACCTTTTCATAAAACATTTTCTATTGTTAGACACAAATTCTCAGATGACTGCAGAGATTGTTTGGTTTACTGTATAGTTTTGTGCCAGATTTGTTTTCTTCTATGTTTACAATAGATCTATCTATCTCAGTCTATTCATATTTATCTAATTCTATTCATTTCTATCTCATTCTATTCATATATATCTATGCATTTCAGTCTATTCATATCTATCTGTCTCGGTCTATTCATATCTATCTATCTGTATCGGTCTATTCATATCTATCTGTCTATAGGTCTATTGTCATCTAGTCTATTCATATCTATCTATCTGTCTCGGTCTATTCTTATCTATCTATCTATCTCGGTCATGTCTTCATTCATATCTATTCATATCTATCTGGGTCTATTCATATCTATCTCCGGTCTATTCTATCTATCTGGTCTATTCATATCTATCTGGTCTATTATATCTATCTCGGTCTATTCATATCTATCTCGGTCTATATCTATCTCGGTTATTCATATGCTATCTCGGTCTATTCATATCTATCTTCTATTCATATCTATCTCGGTCTATTCATATCTATCTCGGTCTATTCATATCTATCTCGGTCTATTCATATCTATCTCGGTCTATTCATATCTATCTCGGTCTATTCATATCTATCTCGGTCTATTCATATCTATCTCGGTCTATTCATATCTATCTCGGTCTATTCATATCTATCTCGGTCTATTCATATCTATCTCGGTCTATTCATATCTATCTATCTATCTGGTATAACTTTTTATTGAGATAAGTAAACATTTTAATCAGTTTTGCAGCTCAGAAGACAAAAGTATTTTTTATTTATTTTCATACATATTATTTAAAATATGTTGAGTAATAATATAAAATCATTTGAATTTGATTTTCTTAAAAGGAAAGCTTATTTGAATTTATTTGGAAGTTAAATATTAATGTAACTTTTATGTTGAGTAATATATGTAATGAATTATTTCCATTTTGAATGTGAATGTACAAAACTTTTTCTAAATAAATTTTTAATCTAGAGAAATGTTTTTTCGATTTACAGATTATTAGTTATTATATATATTTGAATATATATTTTATTTTATGTAGCAAATTATTTCCGTTTTGGATAGGGGTGTATAAAAGATCTTTTGTAAATAAATTTTTAATTTAGTGAAAGTTTTTAAAAAGAAAATTATTAGATATTTTTGAGGACTCTAAATATTTCTTAAAATAATTTTGTCTCCTGATGAGTGGATTTCAGAATCTGTGAAACTCCAAGTATATATAAGTAAACATATTTTAAATTATTATTATTATTCTGGTGTCACACATTGGCATAGTCACTGGAAATTTTGTTCTTGACATACAGTGCAACAATACTCTTCATAACTCAAGGACATTTTTAGGAATCCTTGCAGAGTAAATAAGGGCAGTTTTCTTGAAGTTTATTTTTTCTTGTTTTTAACATGTAGTAGTAATATTTAAATTTTTTATTATTGATTTTTTACACACATTATTATTATGAGTATTATGAGTATTATTATTATTATTATTATTATTATTATTATTATTATGTTGGTGTCGCACATTGACTTAGTCAATGGAAATTCTTAGGCATGGTGTTAAGAAGACTCCACACAACTCAAGAACTTTTTGGAGAATCCTTGCAGAGAAAATTATGGCAGTTTTCTGGAATTCTACAATCTCAATTCCAATTCTCCCTAAGCGCTATTTTCCGTTTTGTAGGTGATGTTCCAAGTGCACCCATTACTGTATTGCTTGTATTTTTACTATAAAAATGTATTTTTATACTTTTGTAGTATTTTGTTTAGGAGTTTACTTTGCCCATAGCTGGGACCCTAACAGGTGCTACCACTCTTGAGAACAACAGCAATTAAGAGACAGTTCCAAGCTCAAGATAACCTCCTAATCAGAGGCCTTGATGCTGGATGTAGTTTATCATCATACCCAGGAGTGATAATAATAATAATTATTATTATTATTCACAGAATATGATACTGCTTGATAGTAAGAAGTTTGTTTTCTGGTCACCACTCATGACTTAAGGAAACAAACCAATCATTTCTGTTTTTCTCTTAAAGGCTAGATTCAATACTTTCTGAAGTATACTCACTGTTCGGAGTAGGCAAGTTTTTTGTAATGGCTGTATTTCCAAATTATAATCCAATATCTGCAAGATTTTCCCCAAGATTTTTATATTACACCCCAGTGCTCCAATGATCACTGGTACTGTAATTACTTTCTTTGTTAGTCCTTCCAGAACTTTTGCAATTTCATGCTTTAAATCATTATTGTTGTGCATCTTCTCCTTTTCAATTCTCATGTCAAACGTCATGTCAAGCAAATTTAAATGCAGTACTAGATTGACAGTTAGGTTTCATCTTTGTACAGTTGAAATGTCTAGATGTAACCATAAGTTCTATGCTAACAGTTTCTTCTATTGCACTTCTGGATTGATTTCCAGTTTCTAGTCAGCTTTGATCTTCAAAAATTTAAATGCAATCATCATCTGTCTCCTTGAATCCTCTTCTTTTAAGGTCTTCTCTACTTGATAATGTTTTTTTCTCAGACTCTTCCCCTTTTCAATATTAAACTCTTACATCTTAATGACTTTATTACTTTGCTTGTGGATGAAATAATTAAAAACCAAAACTACAGGAGAGTTCTATTTAGTAGTGTGTCTTTATTATTATTAATATAAATTCTGTAAATAGAAAGTGACATGATATCAAGCTTAAAGGCCACCTTTGGCAGCCTTTAAGCAAGAAAAATAAAAATAACCATCACAAAAATGCATTCCATGTTAGGGACTTGAACTGTGAACATTAATCTCAATGTAGCTAAGTTGTAACTAGTGCTTTCTGTATGCTACAAACCTCAGATGGTGTTAATCATCTTCTAAAATCTAGGTTAATGATTCCTTCTTGCTAATCTGTCAAATATTACAATGACTTATTATATTTTGATAATCATCTGTAATATATTGAGCAATGAAGCAAACCATTCTTTTTGAAATTTTTATTTTTCTGTTGTGCTTATTTTTCCAACTTCACACTAATGGATTACTTTTCAATTCATTAAAGTTAAACAGGCTGTGGTTGCCTTTCAAGTTAAAATTTTTCAACCCCCCACCCCCGCCCCCAGTCTTTTTCTTTTCTTTTGTGCTTTTTTTTAATGCTTCTCTTTTTTTTTTTTTTTTTTTTGTTAGGTTTTTAAATTCACTTTTTTTGTTTTTTTTTTTTTTTTTTTTTTGTGACTTATAACTGCAGTTTTTGATTTTGATCTTTTTCTTTGAAGAAAGAAGTAGTAAAAAAATCGAAATCACTATCGTCTGTGGTTTCTTTTCAAGTTAAAATTATTTTCTGTTTTGTTCATTTTTGTCTTTAATTTTTGTTTTACTTTTTCCCCTTTTTTATTCTTTTTCGTTTTTCTTTTTTGTTCTTTTTTTGTTATTTTTCATTCTTTTTCTTGTTTCGTTTGTTTTCTTTTTCATTTTTTCTCTTTTTCTTTTCTCTTTTATCCTTCTCCCTCTTTTTCCCTTCCTTTATTTTTTCCTTTTTTCTTTTCTTTTATCCTTCTCCCTTTTTTCCTCTTCCTTTATTTTTCTTTCTTTCTTTTTCTTTTCTCTTTTATCCTTCTCCCTCTTTTTTCCTTCTTTCTCTTTTATCCTTCCTCTTTTTTCATTCTTTTCTTTCTCTTTTTTTTCTACTTGTAACTTCAGTTTTGATTCCATTCTATGAAAGAACAGATGTAGATTATAATTGACTTGCTCACAAAATATCCATGATGAGAGATTTTGATTTTGTTAGCAAAAAGAATTGCATATAATAGAATCTAACTGTGAGGGATTTTTTCATACTTCTATTTGAGTCCATGTCGTATTAAGAAAGGATGTCATCTTAAGCTTGGCTTTTACTGAGCAAAGAAGTGGTCATTACACATATGAATGCATATTTGTCTTTCTTTTTCAATTATCAACAATATTCACCTGGCATTGAAACAAGTGAAAAGTTCGACTGTACATATACAATGGGACTCTTACCCCCCCCCCCAACCGATTGTTAGATGTAATTGTAAGCTTTATTCTAATAGTTTTTTTTCTCAAACATCTCACCTCTGGAACTGTCTTCTCACTTCTTGTTTCCCTGCTGGATATGATCTTCAATAATTTAAAGACTGTCTAAGAACAAACTTTCAATCTTTTTTCTCTGACTTCCTGAATCATGTTCTTTTATTGTCCTTTCTACTCACTAAAGACTTCTTACTCTCTTTTACTCCCAGTAAACCCTTGCATTTTAGTGGCTATATTGCCTTGCTTGAGCTGAAATGATTAAAAAAAAAAAAGGAGAGGTAGATAGAGGAAAAAATGCGCTGCTAATGTGACTGAGTGAATTAGAAGGCCCTTCACAAAGACTAAGACTCCGACACGCAATCCTGATGTCGGAAAAGAGCTGGTTAGATATCCAACTGTACAGTGGCTCTATGATGATTAAATAATTTAAATGTTTAAATTAAAATATGAGTGTGTAGGGAAGTGATAACCCCCTAACATTTATATATACAAAAATACTCGTAAAAAATGAGAAACAGCAGCAAGATGTGGAAACAAAAAAATGAGTATTATTTATTATCTGGTCGTTATGTGGTATTCAAGAAATGAGAGAGAGTAATACTGAGTAAAATTGTGAGTTTGGGGTCAAATGTAGATTAAATATGGATTGGAATTTGACAGAAGAATAAGATAAAAAATAAATAAAGTTTATGCAGTCTTTCTCATATTTTTTATTTTTTTAGATGTGTGTAATGAGGGTCCAGATAATTTAGTTGGAAAATATGTCTGGGGGGTTTCTTACCTTAAAGTTTTGTTGGGTGCTAAGAGATAAATGTTACTATTATGACCTGAATAGAGAAAAAGAGCTGAAATTTTTGTTGATGCATGTGTTGATGGCCTGCTTGACTGCTTGTCCAATAGTGATAATGTCATGTATTTGTGTGTGTGCATGAAGGAGAAAAGTAGGGCTAATTCTCATAGGTTTAGAAAGGGTGAATTAATTATAATTATTTTTGACACTATAATTAATTTTTATTTATTTATCTTTTTATGGACATGACACAGTGAGAGTATAATAAATTTTTTATTTATGTATTTCTTTATGGACACGACAAGTGGGTGCTAAAAGGTTCTTGGCCAGACAAGAAATCTACCTTTACAAAAGACTTCCAGTGTTAATTGTTTTGACATTTGGTCAGATTTGTGGAAGAGGGTTGGGTTGAGAAATAATCAGCACCATTTTGTATTAAATTAAAAAATGTGAATTGAGTCAAATGAAGTGTTTAAGTGTACATTAATATAAATGAGATTTTTTTTACTTTTGGTGCATATTTAAAGTAGGATTTCATTTTTGTAAAATATTTAAAGTAGATTCAAGAAACTTACAGAAACTTTGTTTTTTTTTTTTTAATTACGACTGAGATGATTCTGAGAGAATTAGAGGTCCTACCAGGATTCATTATTTGTGACCACAGTCTTAAGATATGCAGATGACACAATGTTGATAACAGACATAGTTTTTCAAACTAGTACTCATTTCCCTAAAACCTGCTCTGAATCGTAAAATCAAAAATGTAATAAAACTATGACATTATTTAATTAGAAAAGCTTTTAATTGCTTTTAAGATTTATTAAGGACATTATTGTCTTAAGAAAAAAAAATTTGATAAATAGTGAATTTTTACAAGAATTGTTTTAATTTTTTTTTAATTATAATAACTGATAAAATTTTAACTCTTAAAATTTTGTATTAATTTCTGCCTTTTAGATGATATCATTATTAAGTGAAAACCATATTTACTAATCAAAAATTGAAAAGCTTAATAGAAATACTTTTTTGCACCAAGATTTTTAAAACAATTTTTCATTTTTTTATGCATACGTAACTTGCCCCTGTTTGAAAGTAGTGATGACTATAGTAAATTTAAAGTCAACGTTCTTAAAATTAGATTACAGAGAATATTTTCTAACATTTTTAAGATTACTGATTACTTAAAAATGATATAAAAAAGGCGCTTACCAATCATGTTCTTAAATTATGTTTTAACAGATAAAGTCACCGTAGACCCGTCAACACCTAGTACTTAGTTTAAGTGACTGATAAGCGATGAAAAGCACATAAATCGCCGTTATTGTTTGTTTAAAAATCCATTTCTGTTATATTTTCAACTTAAAGTTTTAAAGTATTTAAAATATTTGTTTCAAATCAGATTAAAATTATACTTTAAATCAGTTAATATTCCTCAAATAAAGTTTCAAAAAAGTATATTTTGGAAGATTTTTAAAACCGAGAATTAACATTTGTTTACAAATGTGTCAAAAAAGACTGATTTTAATGATTTTGCTGAAAGCGAGCAAAAAGTTGAGATTCCAGTCAATATAATTTTTATTTGAAATACACCAGCGTATTTTGCTTACAAGAAATAGTAAATTTAATCATTTAGCTTTCAATTAAAGACTTTATTGAAAGCTGAAAAGAATGCTTTTTCATTTGCAAAAATTCATTTTGAAACTTACGTATCGAAAATTAGTGGAGGTGCCTAGATGTCATTGTCACTCAATGTCATGCCATATCACTTCATGACCTGGGCTATCATTTGTAGCTAATGTTCGTCTTTCTTTATGATCCATCCCAGTCCTTGTTGCTGTTCACGTGTTCTGCGAATCTTACCAGAAAGAAAAATGTCATTATTGGAGAAATTATATTTTTAGTTTTATCTTTTTATGACATTTGGCGATACCATGCGAAAATGGAAACCACTCTAATAAGAAGTGGTCTGAATCAGTCAGCCCGGTTGAGAGTTAAATGCAACAAATAATTGAAGTTATTTCAAAAAGAATACCATTGCGCTTTGGTTTCGCGCGGACAAGTCAAAAAAGAGGAAGAAGAAAAAGACGAGGAGGAGGAGTTTTAGAGGACGGAGTAGGAGGGAATATGAGTTTATCAGGAAAATCGTGATGCTGACTCTAATGAGGAGGGAAGCCAAAAAAACTTTCTAATGTCCCCTAACCCTGTTTAATGAATTCTAAACTCTTCCCTCTACTACTTTTCTCTCCCTTTTTTCCTCCATTCTAGTGTTGTATTGATTCTCTTTCAAGAGACAAACAGTGACGGTCGGGATTGTAAGGTTGAACAGAGGAGGCTGACAGAATATGTATTTTGAGGGGGATTAAGAAAGAAAAAAAGATAACTTTTTCTTTTTTTTTTTTTTGCTTTTTTACTACTCTACTACTGATATTAATTTTTTTTACAAGACTACGATTCTGCATCATATGTAAGTATTTTTTTTATTATTTAGAATTTTCATATCATTCTTTTGACAACCATACTTTTTAAATCCCAACTTTGTTGTTTTTAGTCTCATCACAAAACTTTTAATTAAAATTTAAAAATAAAATGCTTTTTTAGAAATCAGTTTTATTTTATTTTTTTATAAAAACACAGCATCATAAAAAACAGTGTTTTTATCAACTTTCAAATCGTTGTCTTTAAATTTAATCATTTTCTTATTCGTTTTGTAGACTGAAAATTAAAAAGACTAACTAAAAGAAAAAGTCCAAGTTTTAAAAAGATTCTTCATCAGTTTCTTTCATTTTTTATTCAATTGTATTACGTAACAAATTATCACTAATAATATTGTAAATTTGCCAAGATTGTAATTTTTCCCTTCGTGTTTAAATATATAAATAAAACAAAGATAATGCCAAAAAAATATACTTTTTAGTTTTTAGTAACTGATGACAATATCACGATTTCATTTCTTTTTAATACGGATGTCAAACATTGCTATATAAAAATCCGAGCATTATTTCAATATCAAGCAAGCTGATTATTAAAAAAATTATATTATTTATTATTAGCTAATTAAATAACCTAACAAAGGATAGAAAAAAAAAACTTGTTTTTGAATTATAATTAAATAAGAAAAAATTACGAGTAAATTGTCTAAACGTCCCGATTGTTTTAAAGTTTAATGCTTGAAATAAACAATAATTTAAAAACTAAAAAAAAGGTACCGTTAAAAGTTAATATTTTGGTTTGGAATTTTGAAATAACAATATGAACAATCATTATTTTTGTTTAATTTCTAATTTATGAAATGTTATTAATTAAAAACGGGAAGCGAAACACTATTTCTATTTCAGTTCCAACTTTAAGAAAAGTTGTTGATATTTTTAATTTTTTGTTATTTCGATGTAAAATGAAATCATTATCATCAAAAAATAAAAACGAAACGGCATTTTAAAATTAAGTTTTTAAAAATATAGTGATACAAAGAATTTTTTTCTTTGTATAGAATTGGCCATAGATAGCGACAAATAAATCATTTTCATGAAATCACATCAGTTCGAACGGCAATTCTCCGGACATCATCGAGTGGAATTAATAAATAAAGATTTTTCTTCTATTTGTTTTTGACACTTTCATGTAGCAAATGCCGAGGTTTTCGTTCATATTTTGTGTTTTGACGATCTAATCCTGATCTTAGAACATCAAAAATATTCACCTGCCTTTTTTTTTTTTTTTTTTTTTTTTGCCTTTTATTTTTGTGATTAAAAAAGAAAACATGTCAATGAAAAATTGGAAAACAAACAATAAGTTAAAAATAAAATTAATGAATGAGTTTTTTTTTTTTTTTTTTTTTTTAAAGTGAAATAATTTT